ACTTTTCTTCATTCTTTCTTCTTTCTGGTTGTTGTTACGGTTATTTTTAAGGGGAGAAGAAAATTATTTTTAAAACATGTATAATTGGTGCTTGCAGAGAGTAAATCATTGTGATGCATTGTAGTTAATGGAAAGCTGTGCATGGATTAACGATATTTGAGTCCTGGGTTAGCTACTCTGTTTCAAGTCCAAATGGCTTTTAAATCAGGCTGACACTTAATTAAAACAGGCACATAATTATTTCTGGATCAGTACCAACATTATGATACCAGGCATAATGTATAAACTGAAGCCCAAACCTGGTCTTCTTATGTATTGCTGTGACTAAGATTTGGTTTTTCTGAATCCTATTTTTAAAAATTCAAAGACTCATTAAGACTGGAGAGGTGGTTCAGCAATTAACTTTCTGCTCTTGCAGAGGACCTGTGTTTGGTTTCCAGCACCCACACCGGAATGCTCACAACCTCCTGTAATGCCTGTTCTGGGGAATCTGACGTCCTCTTCTGGCCTCCATGGCCATCTGCACATTTGCAGCATGCACTCACACATACACATAAATAAACATTAAAAAAATACTTTTTAAAACTGAAATAAGTGATGACCCTCTTAGCAGAAATTGTCTCCCTGAAATGTGAGCCATCACTGCTGAACCAAAGAATTCCCAGAACTTTGGCAAGTTATGTGTTAATTTGATAAACAACTACCAATTCCCAATTCATATGTCTTAAATGCTTACATAAAAAAGGTCTCAGATTCCTTATGGGAATAATAATTCTTCTTATCAAAGCCCTCCAGATGTCCAGAAATGGCTCACTTTAAAAACCTGTCATGTTAATTCCAAAACTAAAGTCATTTCAAAAAGCACAGCTGAAATAAATCTGAATTATTTTAAACATTTTTAGGAGAACAAGTACCATGGAATTAGTTCCGAGAGCTTAAACGAAATATTCATGCATTAAATTCAAATAATTTTACTTTAATAAAAATTTGAATTACGTGCCTTAGGGCATTATTAAATATCAAATAAAAAGAACACATCCATAAGTCTGATTTGCCAATATAATTTTATATGGAACTATGACTACATTTGTATTATACATTTAAAGACAAAGGGATCATGCATTCATGAAAAGACAAAATCAGAATTAGAAATTCTTAAGGCTTTCCTTCTTTGAAAAAAAATCTCGATTATAATTAGTTAAAAACGTAGAAAAAAAAGTAAGCATATTTTTTTCTATTAAATAATTAAGGATTTAAAATACACAAAATCTCAGTGCGAGATTTCACTATTTCTGTGCGATAAAGACAGAGAACAGGGATGCATGTTTAGATACTCAGATAGAAGTCACTCATAGATTCCTCTCTAGGACCAGATATGAATCAAACACTCAGAGCAATAATCTCATGTCACTAAACGTGCTGTTTATGGTTAGCAATATTCGAGTAAAGAATGCCAACTACAGTCTGGAAATCCTCTTTTGCTGCCAGGCACCAGTCCCTTTGCACCTCTCTATGACCTTCTCAATGGCCCTCTCCCTGTGGGTCTGTCCTCTCCTTCCCCCAGCTTTCCTGCCACTCTCAGCCTCCTGGTGACCACCCTGTTCCTCAGTTAAGCACAAATCAAGGCACAGACAGGTCTCTAAGTCAGCACTCCCTTCCTCCTTCCTCTTGGGGCACACAAGGATCTTACCAAAACTGGTCTCCCCGGCCTCAGGGTTGCAACCTTTCCAGGTGCAAAGTCTCCGAGACTAAGATCTGTCCCCCGAAAACAAATCGCTAAGCTGCACGCCCTGCTCCTCCTCCACGTATGCAGACAAGTGCTGGTATTTCTTGTGCTGAAAACAAAATCAGCCTCAGCATACTGCTTCACCTGGCCCAGTTTATCATAATAAATACATAAGGTATGTGTGTATGAAACATCACAGTGGATACTGTTGATCTGTGTACTTGATGGGTTAATAGCTTGTTTATTTATTATTTATCTATATCTATATCTATCTATCTATTTATTTATTTATTTATTTTTAGGAAGATCAGCAAAGCCAGGCAGTGCTGGTGTGATAGAAGGACCCAGAGCTTTTCGGGGGAGTTGAGCATACTTTAAGAAACCACCAGGTAGCTGTTTATCAAGTTAAACAAACACTCCTCTGAAAAAGAGTGTTTCCATGCATCGTACCTCGGTCCCCACCTTTCTATTAACTGCAGCCTCTGCAACATGCATCCTCCATTGTTAAGCCACTCTCACCACCAGAGTGGAGACACTCTCCGACCTAAGCCCAGGTGGTGATAAAAAAAAAAAAAAACGGTCGTCAGTCAAGATGTGTACAGCAACCGTTCAGCTTCGCTGTTCAAAAAATGTATTGCTTAAGGCAGTGAATGACCTGTCTTCGCTGTCTTTTGATTACCTCTACTGTAAAGCCCCATATAAAATTGCATAAACAGTCAATTAATCCCTCTGCTCCATTTGAATGCCATATATTTTCCCTCTGTGCCAGATAGTTCCATATTCACACAGACTAATTTTCTGATCTTGGTGCTTAATTTTGATTTTCAACTTGACTGATTAAAAAAAAGTGTCCAGGACATTAGAAAGTTCACCACTGGGTATGTATGTGAAAGTGTTTACATAACATTAGGCCATGCGGGCTCAGAACTATCCAGTGGATTAACGCTCTGGTAGGTTCATATAATGGCATTGATGGAGAGGGTGAGAGGCAGGGACAGGGCCTGGCTGGAGGAAGCAGACGACTGGAGAATGTCCTTTGGACTGTATCCTGCCCTGGCCTCTTTCTGTATATTCTGTATATGTGCTTCCTGTCCACCATGAAGGTCCTCTATCACGTGACACCATCATGTTCTGCCCAAAAGACAGGACCGAGCAACCATGGACTGAACTCTTTGAAACGATAAGCTAAAGTAGCTCCTTCCTCTTAAGATGTTTCTGTCGGATATTTGGTCCAAGCAATGAGAACATTAACCAATGCATCTCTACCCATGAAATTTTAGCAACCTGCCTATATAATCCTACTATTATGACAGACAGGTATCTCTTTATCAACATCCTCCAACTCAAACTCTTTATCTTCCTGGTCCCAAAATGGCCTCCTACAGTTCTCCTGCTGTTACTCAATGGCATTCTACCCATGGTTTCCTAAGACCCAGACCTCAGCATTTAACCTGATGATTCGCTCTCCATCCACCCTTACCCATCTCATCAGTAGATATCATCTACAATTTCTATTTCCTATGCATTACCAACTCTCCATTGCCACTGCTTCCCATCTAAGGTCCAGGCCTCCATGTCTACCATTTAGCTACCCAACAGATTTCTTAAAATTGTTCTGTTCTTGATCTGCTCTACCTTAATTCAATCTACTAAATTTCTTCTTAGGGATACATGGGATAAAGCCAGTCCCCTAAGTCAAAGTCTTTAACATTTTATGACACGTTACATACAGAAGGTTCATGACACATCCACAGTAATGCCAAGATTCCTTAGTGCGGTTGACAGCGTCTGCCGTTTGGGTCTCACTTGCTTCACCCTTTATTTCTATCTCTAAACACACCAGGGTTTCCTTCAGGGACCTCATTGCACCTGTGTCTTACCTCCTCCATAGCAAGCATGCCTTAAAGCCTTTGTAGAAAGATATTTTCTCTTCCTAGAAGTTCCTCTGTCACTTCCTTAGTTCTCCTTATTTACATAATGTATTAATACTTGCTATGGTGTATTTTTCAGCACTCATTTCTCTACTGTCAGACTCTACCTCTGACTCTAGATTCTACAAGGGCAGAAATCATGTATGTCTTTACCTGGGTAAACACACAATTGGTCAGAAGAAGTGCTGAGTAATTATTTGGGGTTTTCATTTTAGCTCTTTGGCTCATCTATGTTGAGATTTGACCTAAAGCACCCTTGAACTTTCTTTCTTTAACATCTGAATTACTCTACAATTCTTCCCATTCTTAACAATGATAAAGCTGCTGGACCTTCACTACCCCAAGTTAGAGAAAGGAGAATTGCACTGGCCAGCTGAGAGAGGAGAATGAATGAGGCTACCGCTTCTACAAGGGCAGTTCTGAGAAACTTCTAGTTGGCCTGAAGACCAGCCGAGTGTGACACGTGATGTGTTATGGTGGGTCCGTAGTGAAACAAAACAGTTCCAGCCCTTAGACGTTTGACATACAATAGAAACCTAAGGAACACACAAATAGATAAATGGAAAAGGGGTCACAAAATGAAGTCTGCGTTAAGTGAAAAGGAGAGGATCACTGTTGAAACTGGTATTTGAGCTCAGCCCAGCGCAGATAAGAGGCCAAATGCGCAAAAGGAAGGAAGTACAGTACAGAGTGAGCAAAGCATACTCCAGGAAATGAGACCGTAGCATAGAACAATAGAAGAAACAGGAAAAGAAGATTGACAAGATGACTTTTTACATCTCCATCAAGAGTGGCCAGGTCGTGAGATTGTGAGCTCTGCAAGGCCTGAGATTTCCATTCAGCTGTGACTTCATAGTGCCTAGTATGTGCTAACTCACATATCACGCCATCCTCTCAACAGTTCATCCTTGGTCCCAGCTCTGTCCTGCTTCTCCAGGCACTGTTCTAGCAGATGTGTCTCGCTTATGCGAAGCAGCTCTGCTACAGTTTCTCTGATTGATACACACTTAGGTGGATTACAAGGTAAAGGATTCCCATACATAGTAACATTTGCATATTTTTATCTTTCCTTTGTTTGTGAGCTCCCTAAAGGTACGTAGTAAGTATGTTGAATTCAATGTCATTCAATAAAATAATGTACAATATTAAAAGAGCTAATATATGTTTCTCGACTTAGGAAATAAAAACTACTTCCCAAGAAACAAACAAAAGAGAGTAATGGTACAGGGGTATGAAAATGCATCATAAATGTATCAAAATGAAGTGCATTTTGGCAGCCAAACTATAGAATGACTTTGGGATACTGGGTTAAGGTAACTCATTTCCTTGTCTGTCTCACATACCCTGATGCAGATGGCTTTGTTCCTGGTCTCTCTGGCTACTGAAATGCAGCTCGGATGACTCTGTCACTCAGGGGCTGGGTAGGTCGGAAATTGTCTCCCAAAATCCCATCACAGCCTTCTACAAGTTCTGCCCCCTTAACATGTGTCCTGAGTCTTCGAAATTCTTCTATCTGGAAAAAAAAAAAGCAGAATTAAAGGGAATTAGCCACTAGCCACACATTAGCAAGTTCAGAGATTCATAAACCATTTAAAATGTGCATAAATTATAGAATAAAAGAAAAATGAAAGGTGAGCTTCAAAGACAGAGGAACAGAGCTGGAGAGAGAGCTCAGTCCTTACAAAAGCATGTTGCCCTGGCAGAGGACCCAAGTTCAGTGCCCAGCACACCGGTCAGGAGGATGCAGCTGCCTGAAACTCCAGCTCCAGGGATACAGTACACACGTCTGGCCCCCAGGGGACTGTGCTCACAGTGTGTTCATGTGTGTATGTGTGTGTGTGTGTGTATACAAACTTTAAAATAATAATAAATCAAAAAATTTGAATAGATTTGGTTGTTCCAGAAATAAGCACATCAGACAAGGCCCTTAAAAGATGACAATAGGAATCTATGTAATTCCAATGTCTATAGAAGCCTACTAGATTTTTAATGTAAAGATTCCATCACACACACACACACACACACACACACACACACACACATATTGTGTCAGCTTAAAACACACACAGAGAAAAAGAGAACAAATGAGTTCTTAGAAGTTTCTCGAGTACATCCCTAACTCACCAGCTCTGATGAAAGTGTGGGTCATCTCATTAGTTATTACATTTGCTACAAGGATTCACGAATTCCTAGAAAATCCACGCCAAACATCCATCTGACAGAGGATTAGTGTCTTGAATATATAAAGAACCCCCCCCCCCAATAAAAACCTAACTAAACACTAAGAAAATAAACAACCTAATTAGAAAGTGGTGAATGGGACCTGGAGAGACAGCTAGCAATTAAGAGTGCAAACTACTCTTTAAAAAGACCTAAGTTCACTGATAGGGGAGGACCTCCTCCCCTTTCATCTGACCCTGTTTTGTCAGGTATCTTCAGGGCTGGCTGCAAAGTCCTCCTCTGTGGACTTGGAAAGGGGCAGGGAGGAGATCAGGGAGGGAGTGTGGGGTTGGGGAGGGAATGAGGGAGCGGGATACAGCTGGGACACAGAGTTAACAAAATGTAACTAAAAAGAAAAAAAAATGTCTCTTTTTCATAGAAAAAAAAAAAAAGACCTAAGTTTAATTCCCAGCACTCGTATCAGTAGGTTCAAAACTGCCTGTAACTATGAACCAAACGGAGAATTCTCAAAAGAAAAAAAAATACAAATGGCTAAGAAACACCTTAAGAAGTACTCAACATCTTTAGTGATCAGAGAAATAAAGATTAAAACACTTTTAGATTCCATGTCACCCAAGTTAGAATGGTCACATGGTCATGATCGGTATACAACCAACCAACAAATACTAGCGTGAATGTGGGAAAGGGATTTTTTATAACTGCTGGTGTGGGTGTAAAATATTTCCACTTTGGAAATAAGTGTAGAGGTTTTAAAACTAGAAGTACAACTATCAAATAACCAAGTTATACCATACCTTGGCACATATCCAAGAACTTTATATCACTAGAAACACATTTTCACATCCATATTCATTGTTGCTCTTTTCATATCCATAATAGATAGAAAATGAAATCGTGCCAAACGTTATCAACTAACAAGTCAATAAGACAACCGTGGTACATACACACAATGGCATATTACTCAGTCATAAAGAAAAATGACATTTGCAAATGAAACTGGAAAAAGTACACAGACAGAGCAGTCAGTCAGACCCAGAAATACACAAGACAAGGGTGGAGAAACTAGCGCAAACGAATTATTAGGAAAAGGTCTTATGGAAACCTACTAGCCGATGAGCTAATTTCAAAATGTAACTTTAAAAGAAATGGGTTCAAATGGAGGCCCCTTACCTTGGTGCACATCGCCGTGCCCTGAGGACATGGGTTAATAAATATGCGTTGCAGTGCCAGGCATGGGACACATCCCTCAGGCGCCCCAAAGCTCCAGAACAGCATAGGGCATCATCATCGCCCTCGCTGCCCACTAGCACTGCATGGGAAGACCTTATTGCTGAACACGCCACACACTGTGACTGCAGGCCACAGAGAAGCCAATCTCAAACTGTCCAGAAAAATTACTCCCTGCTTGTTGGCAAGAGTAAAACATTATTGTTCTTATTAAGAACCTGGATGCGACAATGTTGACCTGCGAGGAGAGATGTGCCATGACATGACTGTTTTATAGGGTGACTAACTGCAAAGACAGAAAGCTGTGCAGAGGCGCAGAATTGGTCAAGGTGATGAAAGGAAGAGACTGAGTGCTCAGCCCTATATGAGACATCTTTAAGAACTTCCCACCAAGGCTGAAGGAGCATCACAGAAGGGGAGGCGGAACCTAAGAGCTGGAGGATGAGGAGCATTGCTGTGAAATGCTGTCTTCTAGACATGACACGGCTATTAGTCATGAATCACAGGAACTGTGATTTGCCTGCATAGACATACTTAAGATGAAGCCATCCAATAGAGATGGGGGTTGGTCCCCAGGCCTGTCCTCTTACTAAGGTACCACTGGTCGGTGACAGCTGCTCATTAGGGAGAGTCAGTATTCTTTGAGGGTATGGCCACTAGTAAGTTTCTCAGGCCCTCTGAGTAGCCCCATGCACATATATGTAGCACTAATTGCTTTTAGTAGGTTATCGTAGAAGAAGAGGATGAGGAAAAGCGAGAAGAGATAAAGATAGGAAAGATGTGAGATGTGAGTGGTGTTGGAGGTTATGTATATGACTATATTTCATTACATACATGTATAAAATGGTAATAAAATTAAACAGATAGCTAAATAAATAAATAAGTAAATAGATAAATTGATGCCTCTATCAGCAAAAGACTGACCCTGCCTCGCATCTAGCATGCTGGGAAACACAGGTGCAAAGGATGTTTCTTGTTCTCCCAAAGTGCAAAGCTGCGTTTCTTAGCCATTTACAGCCCATCTCCCCATCTGAGGTCACCTCTCCACATTATGACTTGCCTGTGACATGTGAAGAGGTTTCTAGGTCTCAGACGACCTCACCTGTCAGGGTTGAGCTTCCGAAGAATCTGGACTCTACCAGATGTGAATGTGACAAGAATGTAACTAACAAGCAACAATATTATGTGCGTTCCCCAAGCTCATCCTACCTGTTCCCCAAGTAACCTAAAATATACATTACTTTGCTAAAATACTACACAGCAATAAGGCACACCCAGGCTTCATTCTTCTCACATGAGGGAACTGAGGCTAGAGAAGCAAAGAAAATATCCAAATTAGCTATTGCTCTTCCCAGCTCCACAACAGCCTCTTCAGAAGCTCCAGTCAGATCAGTACAACTACACCTCGCTTGTCCCCAGTTCTGGGCACTAAAATCTGAACATCCATCCAGACGTGGCAACGTTTTGTAGTTTAAAAAGGTCTGTATCAAAAGAATTCTGTCTTCCTTAAAGAGAAGCAATGCAGATCAGCTAAGTCAGGGCTGCTAACTAAAAGCCTGGACTTCAGGGGGCCAGGAAATCTCCAAATGATAGCAAAAATGTACACGTGCATTCTCCTACATCCACAGCATTCTAATTCTGTCCACTCCCCTAAGTGCTGGAACGCAATGCTGGGGAAAATTAAATGACAGGTTAGATTGCCAGCCTGGTTACAAATACAACTTGTAACGTTTTATTTTTTTTTCCGTGTCTCCAAATACGGATTGGTTTTTCTAAGTGAGGAAAGTCCGGCCCAGCTGGAACTGCCCTGCTGATTTGTGTCTTTCCTGTGTCTACATATTGTGTTTGCATAGCAGTGCCAGTCAGGCAAGTAAACCACTAAATCGTTTCTTTCCCTGGCCCTTAGGTTCCTACACAGTACCCAATGCTTACGGCAACTGAAAACTTCCTAGAATTGAGGCTTCGTGAGAGTCCCTGTTAGTATTTGCTTTCGCCTTGATGTTTTCCCTAAGGCGGGAGAGGGAAAGGCCCCGGGCACTGCAGAGTCCTACACTAGTTCAAAAATAATGCAGTGGCGAGGGAGTGGGTTTGTGGCCAAACATCTGTCATTCTCTCTTGGCTCTGCTACCGGCCATCCTAAATGACCAAATGGCATCACCTCCTTCTGCCCCAATTTCCCCAGTGCAACAGAGAGGACAGCGATGACAACATTCTCAAGGGTGACACAAACAGTAGAAGAAGAAGAAAGAACCCGTGCACAGTTTACTCAGCACACTGCCATCAACGCTCCACTAATGCTAATTACTAACCAGCCGTCCCTGCGCCACTTCCTTTCTGTCAAACCTTTAGCATTTGGAGAGAAATCTTTAGCCGAAAGGGATAGTAAATCAAGCCACTGGGGAAGCCCAGCCTCTCAGCATTCACTTTATATACTTCAAACTCTATGAGGAGTCTGCACCAAAGTTCAAGACCCATGGGAAGGGTCAATGAAGGGTCAATGAAGAGCAGTGTGCTCTAGAAACTTAACTGCCTAAGCACATTATAGGAACTACGTCATCTTTTTTTTTCTGACTTTGAAGCCTATTTTAAAACCTGATTAATTTTATATTTTCTTTTCCTAAGCTGAAGACACATCCCGGGCCACAGCCTGGAGCATGTGATGTTGTATGAAAACAATTTCTTGAGAAGAGATCTAGCCAAGTGCTAGCCTCAACCATTACACTCTGCAGAAAACTACTTCACGAGAATGTTTTTCCCTGATTGCAGTGACATTTTGAAGATTTCAAACATCAGTAGAGATGGAAGGGAAATTCATCTTCCTAGAATGTCATTTTTCTGAAATAACCACCCCTCAAAACCCTTTATCAGCTTAAGCAGCTTCAAATGCATGTGGAGTCAACCCAAGCCAAAAGGAGGGGCTCTGACGAATAACAGAGTAACATTTCAGGATAAAAGTCTTCAATAAACCCAGGAAGCAGGCATTAGAAAGCATCACTAAGCGCAGAAATACAAATAACGCGCCATAGGTCACTGTATGGTTTTGTCGGGTTATTCCATTGAAACATGCTATTCATTTTTAAATAACTTGAAGTGGGGGAAAGAAGA